CAGTTAACATTACACGCAGGTGTAACAACGTTAATAAAGTTTAGTACTGACCCCGCCTTGCACAACTGGGGCCGGCCGGACCTAACTACATCTTTGAATTGTCCACAATAGGCACTCGTATGTTTACATGGTGTTAGTATTGAATATAAGTAAAAGTGCTGGTGTATGGATAAGAAATATAGACAAATTTCTTGCTACTGATTTAGTAGCAGTAAAGCTCCTTGTGCAAGAGTTTGTCCAGGGAGCTACTGCCACTTTAACTATTTCTGCCACCAAGCAGTAATGTGAGCATTATTGCGTTCCGGTTTTGAAGGGTAAGCGTGCTGGAGAAATTATAGGCATATGGGACTTGTGAACTTATGTCTTAGGTTGACGGGCGCAGTGGCAGTGCCCTTCAGATCTTTGTGATTTAAAGCTCTGAGTGGCATTGCAGTTGTTATGGACAGGCGTATCACTTACGGCCAGGCGCACGACTGGTTCGTCCCGTCACTTGTTATGGCAGAGAAAAAAAAGATTAAATGTTAATAATAACGCACACACCCAACATTCCCCCGCACTAGGGAAACCCTGTGTCGAATTACACCCAAACTCACGAGAGAAATAAATTTAGGCCTCACAACTATTTCTCCCGGCCCGGGAATCGAACCTGGGACCTCTGCGTGGCAGTCCGGCATGGTAACTGTTCGGCCACGGAGGCAGTTGAATATGTTGTACGAAAGGAGCCTGCTCGCAATAATATACATGCTTCTTGTACGATTGACGCATACTGGACTACAATCAGGGAGTATCTTTACGTCAATTGGAAAATCCCTTCACCGGAATGGAAATGTAGATATGCCATCAATACAAAAAAAAAAAAAGAATTCAAAAAATAAGCCTTTACTAATTTGGAAAACAGAACTGAAAAGAATATAGCATGCGTTGCTCTGATCCCATAGTAAGTAACTAAAGCAATTGTCTGAATCCGAGACTATGTAGAAAAAGTTTTCTACATTGACTCGGCCGGGGATCGAACCCGGGACCTCAGAGATAGCGACACCATGAAATTCAACATGAAATCACTCGTCCACGTAGGTTATCCACCTACAATTTTGTTGCAAAAGTAAAAAAACATATTTCAAGTTTCGAGTTCACAACAAATGTGTACCTACTTAAATAGTATTTAAAGAACGGTTACTAAATTCAAATCTATACTACGACCTCTCTATATTGGGGCGCAATCCGTGACGGTATACCATTGGCCGACAGCTTCCGTTTCCTGAAGTCACGGCAATTATTTTGTAAAGGTTGGTACACCTGTACATAAGGATGTTGAATCTGCATAATTGTAACTGATTACCATATGTGTACTGTAGATAACAAGTTTATATCAAATGAGGCTTATTGCAATGGACTACAGCCTAAGTAATGGAGTGATTTTTGTTGAGATAAGACGGATGGGCGGTTCAATGTTTATTTTACGATTTGGGTGGAGTTTGTGCTTCTACTGTAATCCAAATTATCTAGTATACACAATATACACATTCTGGAACATGCTTTGCATATATAATAGATATGTATCTTAATATATATATTTGATTTGTTATATATATAGAGTTCTTTGATTACACAAGGCAAATGAAAAATAAATACAGTTTTTATTAATTTTTTTATAAAGATTTAAGAAGTTTTTTCTACGATTTATTTCAATACAGTTTCACACTTATCATGTAACCTGAAAATTGTATTGGATTATTTTCATTACTTACAATATTCCATAGAAACTAGATGTACAGAAAAACCAAATTCAATGTCATACATTCGCATTTTTAAATGAAAAAGAAATCTTCCAAAGTAAGTTAAAACGTATACTAGACACTTTCCGCTATAGTCCTTTAAGTCATTAAGGCAAAAAACGGCAAGGCAAATGCGGGTAAAGACAATTTTAAAGCCCACGGTAAAAGACTACTCCATTAAGCCATGAGTACTTTTCTGGTATGGCTTAAGATAGTACCTAGATTTTTGTTTTTCTCTAGTTTGGAGAAGCAAAATTTAAGTTGCTGGAATATTAAATGTGTTAAAAGAGAAACAATTGAACGTTTTTTTATGTACTATGCGAAACCGTTACAACCAAAATGTCCATAAAAATAGATAGAGCGAAAGTCACTCTTAAAACGTGGAAGTAAGGTGCAATCTGGAAATATGTACTTGTTAAATCTAAAAACACTAACAAAATTAAACTGTCTCACATTTTCCACAACTCATACATTTAGCGCATAAAAGAACGTGGTATCATTACTTAGAATCCATCTTTTTAAACGTTCACAGAAAGGCTGAATAGCGTGCACTCTTGAATCGGCTTAGAAAAAAAACTCACGCATCGTTCCATTGCACGTAGACACGAAGGTGGATCTCATTAAGAGAACGTTCGGAATTAAGAACCGGGAGCGATGAAGCGGGAATCTTGGCGATCATTACGTGGAACGAAACGCGCTGTTGCCGTTTCTTTCACGGTTTTTTTCATTATTTTCCTTTTTTTTTTCAAATATAAAGTTTGGAATCATTTTTGAGGATAAAGTAGAAGAGTTGCTTTTCAAGATTCTGTGAAGGAATGTGGTTTGTTGCGGGATGTAGTCTGGGAAGATTACTTTAATATGAAGTGTCATCACAAACCAAATACAGGAATACGCAGAATACACCTAAACTTTAAGTAACATACTCTGAAGTTATGGAGTGACTAAAAGTAAAAATTAAAAAAAAAACACAACAGAATCGTTATATTTTTTACTTCGCAACTAGCTCTTTTTTTGTAAAAAGCTTTTGGTTATAACAAAAATAAGATTTAGTCCTTAAGGATGGCGTGTGTTGGCGTTTAAACGCCATTGATTGACAAGAATAAATCTGCTGCCGGTGGCTGCTATTGACTGAAATGAGCCGTTAAGGTGGCAACGCGTCAACTATGCTGATTGTACACTACCGTAGTAGAGTAATTCCTAGTTTATCAAAAATATAAAACAAAACTCAATACAATAAATCCGATATGACAATAATAGGTATAATATACTCGACCATACTAAGTTGCTAACTACATGATGCTTGCCTATAACTGTAGGCGACTATCTTGCTCCGGCGACTTCCCGTCAATATGACATCCGGTGATACTGTGCTTCTTCGCTACAAAACGCGTCTCTGTTTGTAATATTAGTTTATTGGTTTTAATTATAAATTTAATATTTGAAAGGATTTTCTTGTTGCAAGTTACGTACGTAACGTAAGAAATATATCTCTTCGTGGGTACGGCATAAGCGATAAATTATATTTCATAAATTGAAAAAAGAAACAGACGCTTATGAAGTGGATTGTAATTGAATCAATCACTTCTTAACGGGATCAATTACAACTTGATTAAATTCATTAATAAAAACTGTTGGTCAATCATTGCACTTGGTATGCTCAGATGGAAATAAGGTACGTTAGTTAAGTTTGGTCAGTGGTATTCCATCCATCCATCCAGGTATTGTACCATCTTATTTCCGCCGCCAAGCAGTAACGTGAGCATTAATGCGTTCCGATTTTGAAGGTTATGGGTGCTGGTGAAACTATAGACATATGGAACTTGTCAACTGTGTATCTCAGGGTGACGGTACCCCTCAAGTGTTTGTGATTTAAAGCTCTGAGTGGCACTCTAACTGTTATGGATAGGTACGTCGCTAACCACCAGGCGCCTGATTCGTTCGTTCCGTCAGTTTATATCATAAACATAAGTGACTCGTTTATTTCAATCATATTTTTTTAGTGTAAATAGGTCTTGTAAAGGTCATCATTATGTTATGAAAAATCCGCCTTTTTGTAAAAAGACATAGGACTAGGTATAGGTACCTATACTAAATATGGGACGACATGATTCCGATTATGTAAGAATTTGGACGCATAAACTAAAATGATCCAGGTGTCTGCATCTTATTATATGTAACGCAAAATGTGGTTTTGGTCAACTGGGTTCGCGGTCTCTAGTAGACAATTTAGTAGACTAAATAACGGGATTTCGACATCAAGGGCTTTTCCACGCTTTTCTGATATTAAATTAATGAATGAAATTATCTACCGAAGTTAAGCGAAGAAGCCCTTCTGAAGTGCTTCTGCAACCAATAAACCAACATTGGTTGGTTGATTTGTTGAATCATAGTTGCTTTTCGGATAAGTAAGCAGTGTGAGGATATTATAACAACGAATAACTATTGGTTCTTAAAACACAGATAGAGAGTTTTAGTTGTTTTTAGTTTTTTTAGTGGAGCTTTAGTTCGTTTTAGTAGAGAGAGAGAGAGTAGCTCCTTGTGAAAGAGTTCATCCAGTGAAGTACTGCTACTTAGCCTATTTCTGCCGCCAAGCAGTAATGTCAGCATTACTGTGTTCCACTTCTGAAGGGTAGGGATTATGGTGAAATTTCAGGTACATGGGATTTGTCAACTTACGTCTCAGGGTGACGGGCGCAGTGGCAATGCCCCTCAGATCTTTACGATTTAAAGCTCTGAGTGGCACTGCAACTGTTATGGACAGGCGTGTAGCTTACCATCAGGTGTACGACCTGTTCATCCCGTTACTTGATATTATAAAAAAACTTTTATAATGAAATAGGAAAGAAAACACGTTGTGAAATGAAATAAATGCTTCGATGATTTGGTAGTCAGTATGGATGTTCGTAAATTGACGGCATAAATTGGTAAAACGAATGTGGATGGAAACGTAGGGAGAGGTAGAACTCGGTAAACGTATCTCTATCAAATTGGAGATGTCCTTAGAAATGGTCAGGTTAAAAGTAGGTACCAAGACTAAACGGGCTTGTATGAAGAGTCTGATGCGAGTGGATGAGACGAAAGATATTGTCAGGAGCGTATAGCTTGTTGAGATTCATATGCTCTGATTACCCCAGTGCCAGACAGACAGTATAATAGGTATTATGTATGAATAGTTAAGTAGATAATTACAGATAGCTCTACAATTATTTATTATTTCTTACTTACCTTAAATGAGGAAAGAAGGTGGATGTCTCACGCCAATTGGTGATGGATTATCTGCAAACATTATAGCATTTATAGATTTTGCTAACATAATTACTAAGATTATATTTCTGGGACTAGAAAAGAACAGATACTTCTAAGTAGGCATCTAAGCGATAATAAATGTACATACCTAAGTATTTTTTTTTTACTTTAATTTATATTTCATTCATGAATAAACAGCATTGTAAAACAAAAAACTGTGGGACTTAATGGAATCAATCACACTTCTTAAGATTTTGAGCCTATTAAACACATTTAAGTAGTGACAGAAAATTGATTGATTCAATTAAGATGTGTGATTGATACCATTAAGTTTCAATTATTAAGAGTTTAAATTTTGTTCAGTGTATCAACTATTTACCGTAGCGTTAAAATGATCAACGCATTACATGACCCACTACTGTTATACGATGTGCCACCACTGAGCATGTATCTCCTCTATGATTAGCGTAGATCAATATCTCCAATGAACACTAAGCTACGCCAAGTTAATTTTAGGTCATTTTCTGTTTTTAATGTAAACGGCCTTATATACGATTGTGACGACCTCCGTGATCGAGTAGCTTGCACATCGATTTTCATAGTGTCGCCATCTCTGAGGTCCCAGGTTCGATCCCTGGTCGGGTCAATGTAGAAAAGTTTTCTATGTTATCTCGGGTCTGGGTGTTTGTAGTACCGTCGTTGTTTCCGATTTCCATAGATAACACAAATGCTTTAGTTACTTTACTCTCGGATCGGAGCAACATGTGTAATGTTATCTAATATTAAAAAAATACTAATATTCTTCTTCTCTTAGTGTAACAAAGAAACAGAAAACAAAATTCGGCGAGCATAATAGTAGTAAATAAATAAGACTTTACATTAAAAACAGAAAATCAGCTTCGTAGCACTTTCAGTGAGACGGCAACATGCTGAGTGGGTCACGGTTTCCTTGGTAGCACAGCACACACGCTTTGTATTCTATATATGCATTGACTTGTATATATGTATGAATTTAGTTCCAAATCCTTGTTGTTATTATTATTATTATCATCATTATCAGTATTATTTAACTGCCTCTGTGGCCGAACGGTTACCATGCCGGACTGCCACGCAGAGGTACCAGGTTCGATTCCCGGGCCGGGAGAAATAGTTGTATGGCCTACAATTATTTCTCTCGTGCGTTTGGGTGTAATTTGTGGTTGTTTATGTGTGTGTCCCTGGCACCCGCGACCCAGGGTTTTCCTAGTGCGGGGATACGTTGAGTGTGTGCGTTAAAAAAAAATTAGTAAAAATTAGTAAATAAATATTATTATTATAAAATGCATGTGTTGATTATTGAAGGAATAAATGATTCTAGTTCTAAAATGACTAAACATTAAGTTGGCCTAGTGTTCGTTGGAGGTATCCAGATGTTGGCCATAGTAAACCACGCTGGTCCAATGCGGATCAAGGGTTCTTATACCTTCTTCGACATATAGGTCTCATTACAATGTTTTGTTTCTTTGTTCACTTTTTATCCTTCCAGCGTCAATATAATATTGAACAAACTTTAGTCATGTTTTCATTAATAGTTAATATGATTTTGTAATTTTTCTTTGTATAGGATTTAGTGTTTTTAAATTTCATGCAAGTTTTAATTTTTTAAATGGTTAAATATCTACACAAATCGACTGAGTTATTTCTTTATTTCTTCTAGCATTACGTTTTTTTCTGATACTAAGTGACGGAACGAACAAGTCGCGCGCCTGTTCGTAGCGGCACGCCTGTCTTGTAGATCTGATGGGCACTGCCACTGCGCCTGTCACCGTGATACACAAGTTGACCTGTGTCTAAAATTAATTATGTGTCTGGTTGTTATTAATCATTGACTTACAATTATATGGACGTCGGGTCCGCGCTAAACAGTGTCCGAAGTTATAGGGCGTTAAAACCGCCTACAGAGCGTCATTCACGCTTTAATCTTCGTTTGTTCGACTGACAGCGAAGCAAGCAAAATTAGACAGTACTGCGATGACATTACAATTTAAATTCAACGTTTTAGCTTTTTCATATTCCTTTACATGTCACTACGTTTAAATAGGTTGACTTGGGACATTTTTTTCGTGGTTTTTGTATTAGACCCGTCGTCCATTTATTTGTAAGTCAATGTTATTAATAATAATAATGTTCCAAACACCACACCGATTGTGGGTTTCAGACTAGGGAGTTCCTTTTAGGTATTATGAATAGAAGAGGAACCAAATTCACTGCGGACCGCTACTCAGAATACCCAGGTCAGAACCAATTGAGAACGGTAAATTCCCAAATCTCTCAAGCAGAGGCTGTGTTGGTTTCAATCCGGGTTTCTTTGAGTTTTGCAGGGTGTGTGAAATTTAGTAGCAGTAGAGCTTCTTGCGAATGAGTTCGTCCAGGGAGGTACTACTACCTTACCTATTTCTTTCTGCCGCCAAGCGGTAATGTGAGCATTGGTGCATTCCGGTTTTGAAGGGTAGAGGTGCCGGGTGAAATTACAGGGTCGTGGGACTTGTCAACTTATGTCTCAGGGTGCCGGGCGCATCCTCCTCAGATCATTGTGATTGAAAGCACTGAGTGGCACTGCAACTGTCATAGACAGGCGTGTCGCTTACCATCAGGCGCACGACTTGTTCGTCCCGTCACTTGATAAAAAAATAAAAAAAATATTTGAAGATTACCATGTGCTTTTCGGTGAAAGAAAACTTCGTAATCAAAACTTCATGTCGAAGAAGATTCACACGTGTGAAATTCCTAACTCGCATTGCCTCAGTGTAGCGGACTATGGCCTAACCCTCGCCTAAGAGACCCGTGCTCAGCAGTGGGTCGTATAAATGGATTGATGATGATGAATTTCCCAAATTAGTCCTACCGGGAATCGAACCCGAGACCTCCTCATCCAACGCTCACAGTGCAGACAGGATTCGCCAAATTTCACTAAATTTATTAAAAAGCTGTTAAGTGGAATCATTGTACTGAAGCCCGTTAAACAACTGCCGTAAGGTTAAGGCCTTAAAATAAACTATTATTTGGACAAATCTAACTGTTTGAAGTTCGCCGCAAGTAAAGCCACGCCCCGCGTCTTCGCCCGCCCACGTGCTAGTCTTGCGCATATACGCCTCTTACTTAACCAACTACACAAAAGCAGGTTTCCAACTTACAGTTCTATTACATAAGTGGACATAGTGCCGTGTTTTTACAATTTATACTTCCAAAGAAATGTACCAAATTAGTAAGAAGTAGGTTACCGAAGTGTATATATGTAATATCTACCTATGTAGATAGATATTTTTGTGGACGAAATTATATTTTATTTAACTTTTTTTTATAATATCAAGTGGCGGGACGAACAAGTCGTGCGCCTGATGGTAAGCTACACGCCTGTCCATAACAGTTGCAATGCACACAGCTCTTTAAATCGCAAAGATCTATGGCACACTGCCACTGCGCCCGTCACCCTGTGACATAAGTTGACAAGTCAAAAATTCCTGTAATTTCACCAGCGCCCTTACCCTTCAAAACTGGAACAGTAATGCTGACATTACTGTTTGGCGGCAAAAATTTATAAGGTGGCAGTACTTACCTGGACGAATCTGTTATAAGGAGCTCTGCTACTAAACCTTATCCTATTTAGGCGCCTAATACTCTATATTAGGATTGCTATTATAGGCTTGTATATGTAAACATTAATTTTAGCGGTGGAAATACTCATAAACGTATTTTTGCGGATGTAAATTGCGTATATTTGTTTTTCAAACAAAGCAACGTTCCAGACCCTTTACAAGCCCAACATACCTATACAGCCGTGACGATGGGATCGTTGCTTTGCTTGAAAAAAAAAAGCGATTTAGATCCAAAAAAATAGTTTCATTAATGTTAAATGTTCGTATTCGGTGTAACAATGACTATATAAAATGTCTTCCTTTATAACACATAATACGTCAAACAACAAAGTTATTATTAAAATATAGTAACACAACAAATCTAAACAATCTTGCACCAATAGAGCGTTAGAGTCCGCCCCTGTCTCGCCACGCCCCTTTTCTTAGAAATTTGCCCCCCCACCTCCCACTAAAACGTGTTCTTATTTGTTGGAAACCTACGCCTACCTCCTTCGGAAACAACCATTCGAGTTACTTTCCAGTTAAAATATAACATCGATTTATCTGATGCGTGGGATATTAACTTCTACATATAACAACATTATTTGGTTTGTATAATTTCCATTCACGAACGTTATATTCACTACAATACTTTGTTAAGTATTGTGGTTACAAAAGACCGAAATAGACAGTGTATTTATTACTCATGGACGTATTTAGAGTAACGCTAAGAAAAGGTTGAATTATGATAACAATGTTCAACAATGGACCACTGGCCACATATAACAGAACGTTAACCGAATTCAAAAGACGATCGAAGTCGTTCTTTTTTCAAATTAACTTTCAAATGAACGCTCTGGTAATGTGGCCAGTGGTTCGTATGAACATTATCCTCAAAATTCTACCTATTTTGGTGTTCCTCTAAATATGTCCATGAGGTATTACGTAAACTTCAAGGAAGTAATAGAATGACATTGAGTAGTGTAGAATATACCGCTATTACCATACACAGTGTAATGTAGTCGTGTACGCTGTGTATTTGGAAATAAGTTTCAAAATTGTAAGTAAATTTTTTTTTTGTTTCTCTAGCATGTCACATCTATTATGCACTCTATGTGTATTTCGGTGTCTCTGATGATCACAGATAATTTTATTTTTTCAACAGTTTATTTATAAATGTACAAAATTATAATTAATAAGCGTTACTGTTGAAATTTTAAATACTGCGAATAAGGCTACGTAGGCAAGGCAAATGCATGAAATTAGTTCTCAGTAGAAGGACGCCCAAGATACTCGCAGCTTTCTCCATTTGTGTGGCTATGCTACTACTTTAGGCAAATCCATTCTGTAATTTAATAGTTCTCTGTCTATGCGGATATGAAATAAAATAACCGACAGAGATGAAATACTGTAACTAGCCCGCAAGTTACAATAACTTAGATTCTTAGCTATACGCCGTTTACCTACGTACGTACCTACAAACGAAATTTACAGTTGAATAATTTCTATAACCTTTTAGCGTCTCTACATTTTCATACTAGCTTGCTTATCTGACGGGTTAACAATATGCTGTAATCCACGTTTCGGAATTTGAGACGTTTTTACTTACATGATTTGGTGTTCAATTCTAACCTTAAGCGTCAAAGGAAATATTTATTTTGGAAACCTATCCACAACTCGAGAGAAAACTTTCATAAATACTCCTAGCGACATCTGTATTCTTTTGTAAAGAGCGTGCAATGCGTTTGCGCTTCAGTAGTACAGCGCCATCTACGAACAAGCAGCGGAAGTACTTTGCTTAACAGGTAGTCTCACATCATGCGCTTGCGGCGCTTTACAAAGCGCCATCTACAAGGGAATGTGGAAACTTTTGTGTTCGTGCTGCCATCTGTTAGGGGATTTGATAAGCAGCTTTATTGCTTAAACATAAGTAGTTTACGCATAAACAAATAGATGGCGTTGATTTAAAACTGGAAATTAAGAGGAGATGGCTTCCAAGTCACATATTGGATAGATACACAATTAAAACCAAATGAAACAACTAGTATGATGGATTAGTACAGTATCTTTTTTATCGGTTAGAACGAAGCTATACCTATTTTACTGCGAGAAAGCCAAAAAGATGTCTACATCATTTTTATCCGCAGTGCATTTTCCGATTACAAATTTACGAAACAAAGAAATACAACAAGTAAAATATATTTATTGGTTGATAAAATAAAAAAATGCGACACTCTTAAAATTGTAACGTAATTTTTTTACTTGAATAATAATATGATAATACTTATATCAGACAACCGCACCAATTGCCTAGCCTCAATCTAGGGAATTCCCTGTACTATGAGTACCAGAGCAGCGGAATTCACCCTGGGGCACTCGGAATCCATTTAGAAAAGTTCGTATTTCAAATTGGTCCTTCCGAGAATCGATCCCAGGACCTCCCTCCACAGTGCAAACCATCAAGCAACCGAGCGCGTTTTATAGGAATGTATTTATTAATAAATTAAATTTAGTAAAAATTTTTAAATATTGAAAAGAGAGAGTACGAAGCGTTATTCTATTCGTAAAGCTCATATTTCGCAGTGAACTTTTGTTTTACGAGAGTAAAGACTTGTGTCTACAATACAATCAAATATATTTGTTGAATTGTCGGTAGCCGCCGATAAATTAAGTCTTGATCCTTAAACATAGTCAAGTAAAAATGTAATTCTAAAACGTAGTCCCAAATAAATGATATTTGTCAATGCTAGAGCACATTTAAACAAAGAATCACGGCTATCCCAGGTGAATCAATCAATTAGTTCTGCCAATATTGATTCAGTACTATCTACAGCGCAATAAATGCGATAAGTAAAATATCTACTTACGTAATATTTTGAAACTGAATGACAAAAATATGTTTTAATATATACACGGCAGAAAAAAATTAACTAAATATTTCTTTTTAAATACTCCTTACTAAAACACGATTCTATTTAGTGGAAATGTCATGGGTTATTGTACTTCTCCGTATAACTACGGTTCACTACCGTGCACGTCTCATCTTAAATGTCAAAGCGCCACCGAAACGGAATTACATAATGGAAAACTACATTAAAATATAGCCATTGTATTCAGTATTAATTCTATTTTTGTTTAACAAATTAATAAAAAGAAACACAAGCAAAAAATCTTTATTGCAAAATAAAAACAACCACTCGTTACTATAATCAAGACATTCTACAAAAAAACAAAAAGTTTCTATAATTTTAAACTAACTACAACAGGTTATAAAAAATTAACAAAGAAATTAAATAGCTCCACGTCAGCGGTCGCGATCTTTTAAACTTAAGAGTCCGACGGCTAACGATGAGCAGAATAAAAATTGAACTTAAATGTTAAAACTGAAAAATATCGTCATAACATGTAAATTCTTATTACTAACTAGGTTTAAAACAATATAAATAAAACTTTGTTAAACATTGCGAAATAAAAATACACTGAGTAGAATAAAATTAGCAAAATAACAACAACTACATTTAAAACAATATTAATAAATTCCATTAATATTAACCTTGGTCAAGTGACGATCTTCTTGAAATTATAACACAATTGCTCAAGTCCGAGTTTAACACAAAAATATTAGTCCAATAATTACTAAACTAAGTCCAATTGACCGACCTATTTGTGGCAGTCAATATCTTAAAATTGTAAGTTACGCCTAATTCCTTAATATTATATTAACGCTTAACATGAACTCCTAGTTATTACACTACTATAAATCGCCCACTCGAGGACTCGCTAAAGTTCATTAGGAAAAATAAATTTTAAATAAAAGTATTCTCAATAACGGCCAAACGTTTTAATCTCTTTACAAATGTAACCGACGTAAATATTAAAAATTTTGCAAAAAATTTTTTCCACTGCCACCAGTTTAGTCAAAAACGTGAGAGTGGAGGGGTTTTAGCCTAAAAATATTTTCGATTAGACGCGGTTAATTTTAAAATTTTGTATTTATTAAATTTATAATCACAAGAGCACGAGGAACGTGTATTGCGCCGCGCGGCCCGGCCGGCCGCCGCGACTCCAGACGGACGACTGAGACGTGTCGGGCGGCCGCGCTACCACCCAACCGCCCCACCCCTACCGGCTCAACCGCACCCCCGCACCCCCGCGCTCCCACCCCGAACCGACTTCGTTACGAGCCACTTGTAATCGCCGCGCGATTTTTCCGCCTAAGACAAATTAGGCGGGCCCACCCGCTCCCCTTCTCGAGCTTTCTTTTGGGCGGTTTCTTCTAAGACGTTTTTGTTCACGCCTAGCCATTTAAGTACGCACGCCTATCCGGCTAAAGAAACTGCTCTTTCTTTGCGTTATACAGCTGAATTTGTTCTTATATCAATACTTTTATGACAGAGCATTTAGCCAGCGTATCATGCACCGACAACTTCCACATTATAAATTATTGTTCGAAATGCCAAAGTTATAGCGGCGAGCTGTTTTATTTTTAAATGCCATTTAATCGTCACTTTCGCTCTCATCGATGCCGGAACCGGGTTAATTGTAAATAAAATTCAATCATTCGCAAAAACTCCAGTAATCGACACCGACAATATCAATGAGCGTGCGTGAACTACCATTCAACTTTTTTACACGCATTATCGTACTGTGACGTCATTTGGCTTTTAAATTGTAGATCTCGGTGGGTTATCCGACATACGTGGCAATGAAAAAATGGCAATATAAAATAGTAATTATGCATATGACAAATTTTGTATTTGAAGTTTATATATAATTAGTTACGTGAGTTGTGTCATGGTTTTTTCGCAGTCTTCTTGAACCAATAATTAGAATCTCATATTGTCAATAGAATTTTCTCATTTTCTGCAAAGGAAAAGACATCTTTGCAAAACATATTTTTTACTCATGTTTTCTTTTTTTTAATATGTTTCGTTATGACTCTACTGCAACACCAAGACAGTGAAGCCGATATTTATTGTTCGCTTTTTTCTCAACACCCAACCACATAACAATGGCACAATTTTTGTAAAAATGTGACAAAGTTTTCCAGTTAATTATTTTTCGCGGGAAAGACGATCTAATGTAACTTAAATTAACGTCATGCTTCTTCGGTTATATGTTTATTATTTATTTCTCGAAAATGAGATTTCTCCAAAAGAATTTTTTTACCAAAATTGTAGAATATGTTATCACGTTTTAATAGAACTGAAAAGATATTTAGGTAAAAGCGACGTAGAGAACTATAAATAAGAAATAGTTTGAATTAATCTCAAACAATATTTGATTATTGGCAGTCTTTGGATGTCGGTTAGCATTTTTCAGTAATGCGCAAATCCAAGGAAGCTAGAAAAATTTCGTATCGAGCTTTTAGGTTATCGGGATTGCTACGCAATAGAAACTAAATCTTTTTTTCGGATCTATATTGCGTAATATTTTTTCAAACAAACCAACTTTTCGGATTTTTTGCAAGTCATAGTCACGATCGAAGTTGCAATTCCAATAATTTCGTAGTCAGTAACAAAGAAATTTTGCAAATTTTAAGACACAATATTGAAAGTCAAAAATCAAAGATGACTAAAATTGACGCGGTACCTAAGAGAACTGGAATAGACAGGAGTTGCAACCAGTGATCATATTTGTCTCGTGATTTTATATTGCAGATTATTTAAAAATAAATTTAATAAATCACACTAATTTCTTTCTTTTGGTGACATTTTTTAACAGCATTGTATCACATTTAACTGATATAAAATATTCGCCCGTGAAAATTCATTGTGAAGAGGTAACGTAGCTCTTCACAATGCAATGCTCGTCACGAGAAAAAATAAATTCAGTAGCTTGAAAACGGGTGTACCTACTATGAGAGATGGGGTATGAATTAATACGACTCTTTTATCAGAGCGCTGTCCGGTCGTTAACCCGCAACGATTTGTACTCCAATTTTAATTGAATTGAACCATTACTGATTTTTGATGACTCTATTCTTCAATCGTCTTAAATGATTTAAAAATGTATTTTCTCTTAATATATAAATTAATAAAGACATTTTCATTTCTTTTAATTTTATTGAAAGAGTGAGTAAAAACTTTTGAAACTTGCATAATTATATGAAAGTCACAAATCCACGTCGAATTTTCGATTTTTCTTAGATGTCTATTAAACGTGATTGCCAGCCGCTCTAAAGAATGTCGACGGTGCCAGAACCTACTTTATAAAATTACTGTTATACTTAATCCATGAAATACATTTGGCCACTATTGACTTACATTTTTACATAACAATAACGCAAACAAAAATTTATTCAAAGCTCAAATTAAACAATAGCTTGTCGCACGTAAATTACCTGGAGTCTGTTGTTATACAGATGTTCGTGGAGAGTTTTTGATGGTCACCAAACTTCAGTTTTTTTTCCTAATTTCCAGTCAGCACCACAAAAAGTGATAACAGACGCGTCCTAAAATTGTTAAAACTTAACTATTTTTACAAAGCTTAATCGAAATCGAAAAATCAGTTCGCTAAGTTAAAAGTTTATTTTTCACTAAACATTTTCGAACACCTATAAAGTCTTAAATCACTGCTATAGTCAAATTGTCCACTAGCCTAATTAGTTAATTAACTGGTAGAATAAAAACTGTACGCGATGGAGGAACTTAATACCACTTATAGACTATGCGGCAAAACGAGCCGAATATTTACATTGAAGAAAAAAAAATGAGGTCATTCGGAGGTTACGGGCAACGCAGCCGGTCGGCGCGGGCCGCGACGGGATGTGACCGCGTCCTCCGGCGGTCGCACCCCGCACACCGCTCGCACCCCCGCGCGCCCCAGTCGCCGAGAGCCGGCTTCACCAGGCACCACGTGCGCGCACTCCCGAAAGAGACACCCCTATTTAAATTTCTCCCATCAGACAAGGACCACACTATACTTTTTTCAATTTACTATATTTGCCGATTTTTATTATTTTTTCGCATTTCGATATTTTATTTTTTAGTTGATGCGCTTCGCAACTCACCTGTTGTGCTTGACCCGCTTCGATCTGTCCGATCACATGATCGAATGTTTTCGATACTTTTTTATACGCGTCCTGCTTTTCGTGGAATGTACACATAGTAAGTGAGTGATCAACACTTGAGGAATAGCTCAAAATTTTCAAAAATAAAGTGAGTCCCACATACGTCAAGATATGAGATAACATATATAAAGGATTGATTCTAATGCATAACGACAAACGTTTTCTATATCGTCACCGTATTTATTATATAAAAAGTCTTCTTTTCTTTAGAGCTTTAAGCTCTAAAAAGTAATTTCTAAAACTACAGCGCTCTGCAATTTTGAAATAACAAAAAGAAAAAAATCGCAAATATTAAAAATAATATTAAAAATAAAATTTTGTTAAATAACTAAAATCTATTTAACTGAAAACTTATTAGGATTAGCTAATGTGCTGCCACTAAGCTGCGGCGTCGAATAGCGGAACTAATTTCTAACACGCGCTCGCTCGACACTAGCGCTAACCCTTGAACACGGTGTAAGCGAGAACTTCCAAATGGTTCGTTTCTAAGTACGCCTATTTTTTCTTTTTATTCTACTCGTGAAAGTGCAACGTTCACTTCGCTGGGCATTCAACAGCCATTTTCGTTTGCTATTTATTTTTCGTTTTTATCGGTTTTTTGCAGACGTTCGATCATGCCATGTTTCCATACGTCTGTCTGTTACAATGTGAATGTCAACGAACTTTATCACACGTTACTAAATCTATACTTGAATATTATTCGCTTTCTTATTACTTACTTATGTATTTTAATACAATTCTTTATTAGTGTTAATAAATGAGGATAGCTCATCCTCATCTTATTAGGATGTTTACACACTAATTACGATAGATGGCGCTAGACGTGACAAAAACGAGTGACAAAAATTTTATATTCATTCCACTTTAACTGGTTGTAATCTGGGAAAAAGCTCAAATACCAATATCATTTACATTTATTAACATTTCTATGGCATTCAACTCGAATACCGTGATTTCTTACTAAGATTTAAAGGAAAATCGCATGATAATACTACTTGTCTAACATAAAAAAAAGTAATAAATATCGTTATTTTATAACACGGGCCGGTCGTAAATTCAAGTAAATGTCATTTTAATTATCTACGAACGTTTGAAGACATTATTAATACATTCCCAATATCAATAAACTTCGGTGATTTGATTTTTTAAAAGCTCTATGTAGAGATGATATTCAAAATATGCCTTTTACGAGATTTAAAATCGTCGTAAAGCAATTCATATGTATATATAGAAGGTTACTAAACAGCTTATGATCCGTTAGCTCTTTTATAAATTTTATTTATAGTATTTAAAAATATAATTGTGTCGTGAACGAATATATGGGAACAAATACATATCTGTAAATAGGTAGAGCAACGTCTAGAAATTTCTTTCACATTTTTCTTAGATAAATCCGTTGTACGAATTTGTTGTATAATCAATTCGAACATATCAAGTCTAATTTGGTTATCTATAAAAAAATATATTTAGGTGTTTTAATTTCGAATTTCTGAGTTCTCCGAAATTTGTTCACGCGTTATTCTTATTATTATTGGGCCTACCCTGTTCTTGATATATATAAATAATCTCTGTCAAATGAAAATCCCAAACTGTAACATAATTACCTACGCTGATGACACAGTCCTGTTGACTCATGGGGTCACGTGGGAACATGCCCGTGAGCATACTGAGAATGCACTGCGTAAAACTGCTAACTGGCTTAGTGAAAACTTGCTTACTTTAAATGTCAATAAAACTAAATATATTACCTTTTCTGCATCTAAAATTACTCAACCTAAAATAGATACCTTCAATATTAAAATGCATAACTGTGATATCTTTGATGACTCCTGTGCCTGCCTGAATTTGACTCGTACAGAAACTATTAAATATCTCGGCGTTCACCTCGATAGCACCTTAAGCTGGTCGACACATCTTGATACTATGACATCTCGTGTTCGTAAACTCATGCCTGTTTTTAG